TGTGTGTGATACAGAGGTGATTACACACAAAATGACAGTATTTAGCACAAAGAGCATGACAGTTGTTGTTCCCTCCAACTCTTCCTGACCGTTTGGAAGACCTCAAGATTTATAGTTATAAAATAGCCTCCACGTGCTAAGGAGATACATCTGCAAATGTCATATTTATTTTAGAACATCTATCAATCTATTTATCTATCTATCTATTGATGTTTTTTTCCTTAATCTTTCTTTTTTAAATATGACTCTAAATGTGGAAAAATCGTTAACACATTAAACAAGTATTTCCCATTATTATGGTTTATTAAGGCACCCATATCAATGTGGACTATAAATATTAACTATAAATATTAAGAGTCCTTCAACTGTTTGGGATTGAAACAAGAAATCAACAAACAACTTACCCGACTTTGTTCTCCGTTGGTTCGTCCTTGGGCCTGACCAAACGGGATCTTGGAACATAATTAACTGGAAAAATACTTTAAGGTCTGCCAAAGTAAATCAAATAAAAATCATCAACACGTGACACAAAACAGCCCACCAGGGGAGCCGACTCCACTGCAGTTAATAAATAGACCATTAAGATGGTGCCATTCTTGTATTATTTGTATGATTATTGTTGGGTACGTGGTTTTTTTCTATGACTAAATGCAAACAAGTTTCCATGGATTTTACAGTCCTTGGTGTTACAGCACTTAAGGGAAACAATGCAAATTTGCACAAACACTAAAGGCACATTATGTGCTATTTGCTAGTGAATGGATTTACTGTCTTTTAATCAGCGTTATTACGGGTTTACAGCCACAAGTTTGTATTTTACTTGACACCAAGACGACTGGAGCCGGTCGTTAAATTCATATATAATACATTAAATATATATAGAATATACATTACTTTAATTATTTATTATCTGGGACACATTCTGACAGAAGAATGTAAAGTATCACTGGGAGAATTGTTGCCAAATTTTGAATAAAAGTATTGTTTAAAATTTTGTTGCCAAAAGAGGGAATGAAACATATTTCTCTCACCTCAGATTTTTGTGTTTTAGGTTCAATAGACACTTGCCAGTGTAATGGATAAAACACCAACGTGAAGTGAGTTGTAACTGTGCTGAGCACAATGTCAGAGAGTTGAAATCACCACATTTGTCATCCCTTTCTCAAATTCTTAATCTAATTGGTTATTTTTCTAAGAAAACATGGGTGTTCCTTGGTTCTTGTCTTTCTCTCTTTCAACGTCTCACGCAGACACACACACACACACACCCACACACATAGGATCACCTCTAATATGCACACGCCAAAGCTCACACACGAGCAGACAAACACCTTAACCTCAAACCTCATGCTAGGTGCAGACAGGACCACACATACTGTCTCTCACACAAAATGTTTGGAATGCTATAAACATTATTTCGGTTGAAAAAGATTTTTTTTTTTACCTGTATGTGTGTACGTGTGTGTGCTGTGCCCAGGTGTGTCTGTTTGTTTAAGCTGAGATCGAAGGAAAGTTTATTGTAGGTCGCCATAAAGAGCTCCGACCAGGCTAAATATTTAAAGTGCATTTTTCCTTTAATGATAACGTGTATTTGGACATAACCTAAGCACAAGCACAAAGCTAAGTAGTTTCAGTCAGTATGAGGTATTTCAGAATAAGAGTCATTTCTGATGAACAGCAAATTTGTGCCTTCAAACCTAATTTTGCAGAGGGAGTAAACAAACATAAGATTAATGTACGGGCGCGTGGCTGTATATACAGTTTTATCCACGTTCGCTGCTGGTGGTGGTGCGCGTGTGTTGGTGTGTGTGTGAGTGTTTATCTTCATGCAGGACCTCCCAGAGAGTGGACAGTTCATCCGACTGCACACTGTCCTGTCTGTCTTCTGCTCCATCCTAAACCATATTTGTCCTTCACTGCCAGCGTCCTCCGTTGCATTACCATACTTAGTATATCTGTGTCACCAGTGTCCTACACTCACACTGCAGGGACATATACAGTATATATATATATAAAATCCCTCTTGCAGTACCTTAGGAAAGAGTTGATAGACATTGAAATGACCAAATGTTTCCTCTCAATAACGTGTCTCTGAACACGGCAAAGTTTACAGCTTTACTAGTTTTACAATCGCTCGTAATCAAATCTGATCTCGAGAAATATCTAAACAGACACATGATGGTCAGGAAAACTGGGAAACAAAAAGTCCCAAAGACCCTCAGTGAAGCAGACTTCAGAAGTGCCCCTGCCTTAAAGCAGGGAGTTGCCCAGCTTCTCCAGATCTGGCTCTTCAAAACCCTACTAAGATATTTCCTGGGTCTGACACCACTTTGGCTTCCAGCCTCCTCCAGCATGTGGTGAGGAGAACCAAAAGGAGAATTATTCCAACTGTGTTTAAGTTAGAAAGAATTAAATTAAGCCTGTGGTGATGTATAATTTAGAAGTTTAGCAAAATAAAATATGCATTTATTTCCCTGAAAAGTCCCTGAAACACCAGTTCTCATTATGTTTTTCAGCTGGAACAAATATACTCTTTTTTTTTTCCTCCCCCAACGAGATGTTGATCCATGTTTCATAAACTCTCAACCAACCCGAGTGTTTGCTGAGTACACACATCAAAGTAATATGAAGTAAATAAATGTCCAAAAAAATAATAAATGTACATTAGGAGAAATGTTGCGTAATTAAACAGTGGGATGTCTTCATCTCTGGCTTGGGCGCTTATGTGTGTGTGTGTTAATGTCAGGCAAGTCTGTTTTGGTTTCCCCAGCAGCATGAGGGCCCCACAGAGCACTGGCCCTGGAAGTGGTGCAAACTCCAAACCACATAATAGGTGTGTGTGTGTGTGTGTGTGTGTGTGTGTGTATGTGGTGGGTTGACGGAGAGAGAGGGAGAAAGAGAGAGGGAGATGGAGAGAAAGGGACCACATTGGAGTGTCTATTCGCAGCACTGCAGTGCCCATGTCTGAATTCAAAGGAAGGCTTTACAAACAGGCAGACACGCTTGTACACAATCTTGCCTGGGCTCCGCTTGCTCCCTGGGTGGTCTGTGCTCCAAATGTTTATGATCTAAACCAAGCTAATCCAACTGGCTTGTTTCAGTGAATTGAGAGTGATTTACAAGGCGCAGCAACAGGGCCAAGCAGAAAGAGGGAAATTAGAGAAAATCTCGGGCTTGGTTTCAAGTCATTCTGTAACTGGACCTGCCTCTACGCTCTACATCTGTTCACATGTGGATTTCCATCTGGTTCTCTCTCTTGGACCAGTTAGCATTGCGCGTTTGTCCTTTTTATTTGCTACACACTCATCCATTTAGACAGATGCCTTCATTTGACGAATTAACTGTCTTTTGATGAAATACGAAGCATGAGTAGATTTCAATTTTCCTGTAAAATGTCTCCAATCCTGAGTAGAAGAAAATTATAATAGCAGTCTGATCTTGCCTGTTTTCACTCAATCATTCCTCCATGTGCCAGAGAATAAATATTTTTGTTTCATTAATTCTTTCAAAGCATAAAAAACAACCTTTTTACTCTTTTCATTCATTAAGTTGAGGTTACAGACAGGTTTGAATCCTTTCATGTCAGCTTTAGTGACTTAACTCTGATGTACAAAAACCCAGTTCCAAATGGAAGACCAGTAAGGAAATAATCTCTCTGTATAAACTGGAAATTATAACCTGCTAATATGATTTCATTTCAACACCTACTGTTCCTTGACGTAGTTTGCAGCTCAACTGTGACAAATAATTCCTCTTACATTAGCATAAAAAATATAAGAAATCATCACTACATTTGATCCATTTGCTCTTGAAACTACAATTTGCAAGCTAAACCACTGCTGTGTGTTTTAATATGACAGAAATGGCTCCGATATATCAGCTTACACAGACAAAAGATGTAAATACTTCTCTGTGACGTGTGCATTAATAGCAACACAAGTTGTTCATATAAGGTTTTCGTCTTTTCTCCCATGTTTTTTTTCCTTACATAATTCTCACCATAGTTTGAAACTCCAGTGTCAAGTCTCCAATTTCTGATTTGCATTAAACATCTTTATTCATCAGGCTTCCACATTCAGTGTTTTAAATTTTACTTCATTACTTGAGATCCAGCTACAGGCT